TTTTTCTTTCATTCTTGTGCAAACACAAATAAGCACACACACACACACACATACACGCAATTAGACGTATAGACCGCTATATAAACTGTCAACACACACATCGCGAAGAACGAAACAAAAAACTGAAGAAAAGAAAAGAAACCAAATCATTTGCATGATTCCATATTTTTCATTCTCTTGATCTTTTTCTTGTCGCCGTTTTTATCGAGGTTTTGTTCAACGACTTTGATTGTTCGGCTGGTCTTCAAGTCGCATTGCGGTCACGAAAGATAAATATAAAAATGAAGAGAAAGAGGGACACGCAGACACACAGAGAGTAAGAAAAAAAGTGCGGTTACTTTTTTCTGTTTATTGCGTTATTGCGTACGCAGCAAGTCACATGAGTATCACCGAGAAATGAAGAAGATGGAGCCATTTCGTCGACGTGTTATGGTTTGAATGCAAAATCTAAAGAGGTGGGGATATTTAGCATATTTACGATGGATTGAAAATAATGCAAAACATTCTATGGAATTTCAATCACAATGTCTCTTGTCACTAATTGAGTGGTTTGTTTTGCCATTAACTAGTCGATAATCAGCATGACGGGCACAGAGTCTGACTAAAATGCTAATGCAATTAACTAGCAAATCCATTTGAGAATTCGTTTAGTCTTTTTTCTCTTCCTCCAAATGATTGAAGCGAACAAAAATACAAATACTTAACGATAAATCGAGCGAATATTTCTTACTGCTTTGACAGTTACGTCGCAGAAAAGAATGTTTTTTTTAAAGTATAATAAATGCGGTTGGTAAAGTCGATTAAAAATGAAAACGATGTTTTGGTGCTGGTACAACAGCAACAATAGCAACTGCATAAGGCTATTGAAATCGGTTTGTTTCGGTGGCATAAACAGAGTCACCGACACACATTGGACCGACAACAAAACTAACGTAATCAAATGAGTTAAAATAAGATCGTCAAACGAAATAACACCACCACTGAGAAAATGAACACGATAATAATGTGTGTACAAATATGCCGGGATAGCAAGCGGTAAAGTAACGAAACAAAAAAAAAATGCCGAAAAAAACCACAATTTTCTATGTATACATAAAAAAAAGAGTTCGGCGACTGCCGCAATAACAGCAACACTGCAAAAAAACAATTGGCATTGTTCTTGCCACTTTATTATACATATTTCCATTCTGTTTGCCGTTTCATATTCGACGGTGTATGCCTTTTTTTGTGTCCATAGATTGGAGTGGCAGAGAAGCAAAAACTGGCCCAGAGTTTTATTTCAGTGCGCGAATTTTTCAAAATGCATTTCAGTGAAAATCTCACAATGATTTTATGCAGCGCTATGTATTATGTAGCGGTATGTTCTGAGGCATTTACAACTTTGGTATATGTATTATAGTATGTGCACTATATGCCATGCACTTTGCCGTGTCGTTCAATTGTATGGAATTGACGTTGAAAATAGTAAAAACGCCGAACAATAAAATAAGCGAAATATACATTATTTTGTTATTATATTCGGTGCTACTGAACTTTTATTTTCGCCGTTGTGCTCCAACAATTTGTTTGCATCTCGTTTTTTTGTTCGTCTACTTTTCATCTCGTTCGTCTTATTTTCAAATTGTTCGCATCTCTCTCACTCTCTCTCTCTCTCTTTCTCTTTTTCTTCGCTCAAAAAGTTTTATGACGGGTCGAATGAATACCATGAAATTCTTTTGTTAAATATATTGCCCCCCAAAAAGACGGGAGCAACCGAGAAACGATTATTTTTTATGAAAAAAAATGCATTAAAGCGCATTGAAAATGAAATCTAAATAATTAATTCTAGAAGAATTGTTGAGCATTGAAACGAATCGACGTTTGAAAAAAAGACGCGCGCACATGTAATATATCAGGCGTTAAATGCGCGTAAGACTGTTTCAACGCTGAAATAAAAGTACTGAGGGATCATTGGCGCGTATCATATTACCATTGAATCTCGTTCAATATTGTGTGTCACGCGTCCAATGCGCTAAAAGTGCATTGGCTCTTTTGAATGTGCTCCGGATTTGTTTCTCTTTCTCTCTCTCTCTCTCTCTCTCTGTCTCACTTTCTGCATATCTTGACATCAAAGTCTTGTGCATTCATAATGCATTTGCAATGTTTTTTTTAAACATATACCGTGGCATTGATTTCTTTCTCTCTCTCTCTGCGTTTCCACTTGAAGAAAACATGAAGCAAAAGACACTTTAGTCAATTGCTTTGTGTAAATTGTTTGTGGATTTTACATTGGAAGCGAAAACAATCCAAAAAAAACTCAGGTCATGGATTCTCAATGAAAATAGGAAGTAATAAATAAATGAATTTTTCTGTATAAACTTCAAACGTTTTGAACGTAAACGACAGAGAGAGCGAGAGAAATGCCATGACACACACATAAAATGAATGAAAAACATAAACAAATGCATTTATTGAGCACTTCATATAAGTTTTATAAACGATTTTTAGTCAAAATACAAACAGAATTGTCATCAGGCACAAATTACGCATTTGATAATTATCAAAGCCAATTTAATTGTTTCGTTGTTGTTTTTTTTATTACTTTCTTACAAAGTAAAAACTTTATCGTTGTTTTCTATTCCGATCGCTTTTGTATTCGTTCAGTTTCAATGTTTATATTTTGGGTTTACCATAAGGAAAAACAATTCCGATCGAATCAGCATTTATATATAAAAAAAATAATACAAAACAAAACCGAACAACAACAAACGATATTCGCATAACAGCAAAATTGGGTTGGGTCATTTGAATCAGGGAGTGCGTTCAATTTATAGCTTCTTTGAATTCTCTGCCTTTTTTAACTCGTGATCGTGAATTGATGCGAATATTGAAAACGGTTTGACGCATTTCATATTCAACAATCATTTTCGGATGAAGACGAAACGGAAAGAAATGAACGCTTGAAATTGTTGTTGTTGTTGTTTTTTATTCTTTAAATATCTGTCAAAGTGCCACATCATTTACTTTCATCATTTACACTGAACAAACGAGTATTCAACATTTGGTATTTAACCATCAAATACACGCACACATCGAAACAAATCGGTCGTCCGACCAACAGCGCCAACACTGATCACTGTTCTCATGCCATTTGCATTGAACGGGAAAAGAACAAACAGGTAACAATATTCTGACAACTACACCGACCGAGTCTGTGTGGCAATGTGTTTGTGGTATTTGCTTAACACAAACACTAATGCACACAAGTGGCGATATCAGTCACCAACACACATGCACGCACACACATAACACGCATACACATGATCACTGTTCATTGTCGAGAACAATTAGCATGAAACCTAACTGATTTCAGCATATTTTATATGAAGGAGACAAAATAACGCGCACTTCATTCTTTTAAAAACACTTTGGTCATGGAATATATTCTTTTTGGTATAAATTTAAGCAACAAACTAACATAATTAGGAACTAAGAATAGAATCGACGGTTGTTGTTGTTGTTTTGATTTGGAAACCATACAATCGTGTGGTTTTTTTTTCTCTCTCTCGTTCAAAACTGGACTCGTGTCTAAGTATGAGTGATCGTATATTAACATCACTCGTTTGGAAACAGGTAACTTTTTTTTTTCTCTCTTGTTACACGTTGTCAATATGTATGGGCCCGTTCACTCAGAACCATTTATTTCGAAGTTAAATCTTTGTTGTTGTTGTTGGTCTCTTCATATGGATTGGTTTGACGCTAATGGGTGACTTCGTGATTGAATATATATAGAAAAATGTATTTAAGCAATAAAATACAAAAACTGAAGAAAACAACACATTGTCTCTCTTTCAATTTCATATATGGACGTCGATGTCTTTTGGTTTTCAATTATATTTAAAATCATGTAAACGATTCATTATGAAAATTATATGTTTCGAAAGTAATGTTCGCAAGCGTACACACTTGTTCAATCAATCGGGCATAAAGTACAAAAAATCAACAAAACATTATTATGGTCGCATTTTTTCAGCGATTTAGCACGATTTGCCGATTATTTCATCTATTTTTTTTTCCTTTTTAAATAGTTATTTTATGCCTTCATAATGCATCAGTTCATCGTGTTTTTTAACATTTTTTTTTCGTTCATTTCGATGTTTAATTACAACGTTTTTTTTCTTTCTCTATCTCTCTTTTCATTCTCAATTTTGGTATTTCTTTCCGATGATTATTTTTATATATTCAAATTCCTGCTATTAATCGGTGATTAGACGTATTCGTGCAGCCGCTTTATATTTGCGTGTATTTCTCGGCTCGATGTTTGCAAACTTTTCTGTGTATTCGCTTGTTGAAATTACCTTGCTTTCTTTGTCTCTCAGTGTTGAGCGCGCTCAAAAGAAATTTGCATAAATACAAACAATTTCAATATTCAAGAGAATCACTTGCGACGAACACGCGTCACAAATTTCTTCGCTTCTACGCGTTTCGATTCTGTTCGTATTTTCTCTCTCCTTTCAATCTCGAAATGATTGGCAAATCATTTTTTGTTCAGTACATTTAATACACTTGTTCAGTGGGATTTATTCCGTGTGTTTGTCTTTTCGGTTGTTGGATTTTTTCTTCTTCAATTCAATTTTTTTTTCGAACATTCACATTTTTTTATATTTTCATTTGCATTAAATTCAAAAAGTGATTCTAATGTTCAGTCAAACAATGCAAAATTTTCTCGCACATTATTTACGGTTGTTTTTTTCCTTTCGATTTCTGAGTGTGATTTGATAAAAATTCATTCTGCACTTAAAATTTCTTATAAATTTTCACTTTTGTACACGATTTTGTTCGAGCACTATTTTCTTTTTGTACGTCGTATAATGTCCCTCAAAAATAAAGAAACAAATCGAAAAAAGAAAAACAAACGGAAAAATCCCTGAACAACAAGATAAATGAAATGAAAACTTAAAATGTAAAAAATCAAATGAAAACAACGAAAAAAATAAAAACAAAATAATGGATGAAATTACATTGAATAAACTGAATTCGCCAAAAACTGAAGGCAGCCACAACTTTTAATCCACGGGTTTGTTAGCGGTTTTGTAGCCAGGCAAAAAAAAGAAACCAAACTTTTCGCACTTGTTCTTTTATGTAATGTGTTTTTTCTTTCTTTGTACCACCAAAATTGCAAAAGAGAAATGTTCTCGGTTGTTTTTTTGTTTTGTTTTTTTTCTCTTCTTTATCCTGTTACTAAAACACTTTTGTTAGCACTTTAGTTGATAACTCACATAAAACGATAAATAGATTTTCTATTTTGTGGGATCGCGAGCGCACAAAACTTTTGAAAATTCGAAACTCGAATTTACGCGAGCTACACACAGGAAAAAACGACCACAGTCCGATTAATTTACTTGATACGCGACAATTTTTTTTCTGATATGTACTTAGTTGTCTGAATTTAATATGTGTTTTTTTATTTCGTGTTTTTTCTTTAAAAGATTGTTATTCTCATTTACGATGTTCTATGAAAATCTGTAGTACGGTTGGTTCTCGATTTAAACTTGCTTTCACGGTAACGCTCTGGGAGCGACTGAATTGAACGTTACAATCGAAGCGACAACATTGCAACAAACTCAATCTCTTTCATCCGATGCGGATGTCTCATGCGACTCTATGGCGGTGGTATGCGATTGTAGACAACATTTTTACTATGCCGATTCAATACCAAGTTTTTACATGTAGTCAATGGATCCGCTTGAATTTTTCATAAAATTTCAATTGAAATTATCTACAAAGTTAAAATAATTGGCACTTTACTTTGAATATTCAAAGGGAATTTAGCATAAAAGAATCAATTGATAAGCAACAAATGTGCGCAAACGGAGGGGAAATGCTGATACATGAAAGTGACTTGTTGCATTGCGTCGCATCGCAACCTTAACATTTTGCTCGCTGTACAAATGTTTTTGGATGCATTGATGTCAATAGAATGACTAAATTGGAATATAAAATGAAATTTGTCATTGAACGTTTTCGAGAGAGCTGATTCTTAATAAAATGCGATAAGAATTCTGTCTCAAAAAAGGAATTTTCTTTGTACCCAATTGCTTGATTATTTCGAGATATCACGGAGAAAGTAAATAAAAACAAGACGACAATATAATTCTTTCTGCAGTGCGATAACAAAATGATCGTGTTGTTGTTGAACTTAATATGAAACTTGAACCACCTGTTGAATGTGGGATAAAAAACAAATCACTCTGTGTAACAAATCACTCTGTGTTACATGTTCGTTTACGGTGCGGCATGACGTGTTACACGTTCACTAGCAACGTTTCGATGCGGTTGCGTTGGCGTCGGACGGTTCATTCACAACAATTTTTTTTTACTCTACGCTTGTCATTGTTTCGATGCATACTGTATATATATATATTTTCCAGACACGCGTTTGTCTCGTTTCAAACAGCGATTCAGTACTGGGTTGGAATTTTTTCTCGTCTCTTCTGTGCAACATTTCCTGTTGTTTTCCATTCATTCGGATTTCCGTTTGGGCAATGACAGCAGCGGCAGTGCGATGGGGAGAAGGACAGTCTACCAACAGTGTCGGATCAGCCATAATAAAATGCTATCAACGTTTTGTGTTTTTTGTTCTCATCGCACCGAGTACCGAACCAGAGCAATACACTATGTTCTGTGTAGAAGAATATAAAAAGATGTTTGCATATTTCTTTGTGTAATTCTCATGTAAAAACTCATCCAAATGACCTGAACCTTAACCGTAGTTGGATGTTGGAGAGAAGGAAAAACGTCACATTTTCTCGGCACATGCTAAAGATGAGCCTTTGGCCATTTTTTTAGCATTTTTATCGGTTTCTTTGCTTTCTTTTCTCGTCAATTTTACTACGGGGTGTGCAGTGTTTGTGTGTGTGTGTTCTGTTTTGGCTCATGAAAAGACTTGGAATGCGAAAAATATTCATATCATTGCCATAAAAACATTCATAATAATCATAACAATGGCGATATTCAAGTGTTTTATGTTTGCTCTTCAGATTTCTCTACTTTTTCTCTCACTTTCCGCATGTTCATTTTCTGTATCGTTTTTTGGTTCAATCCATTCTTTCATATTAAATATGTGTATATGGTTGATCATCAAAATGACTTTACTCATTGTATCGAGAATGTCTCCTCCTCACACATACACAACGCCTAATATGATCTCCATTTATCGGTTTGTGTCATTTTCGTTGTTTACCATTATCGAATAAATATTTGACATTTTTTGTATTCGAGTTATTTTCTTCATGCATTCGTTTATGTGATTCGTTTTCGTTGGGCTTGTTTGAAGGGATTATTTTCATGTCAGACTCTTTTTTTGCTAACCATTTATGGGCAAACGGTATTTAACTCGAAATATTCGTTGTATTTTATCGATGAATGTCGATTCAAAAAGCAACGCAACGGGGAGTAATTCACCAAACAATGGCCGCATCCGGTATCTGATGACAAAAAGAGGGGTGAGGAGAAGAGAAGGCTTGAAAGGGTTATGAAATGAATGGCCTTTTGGAAATGTGTGAATGGGGTAGCCTTTTTGCTAAATGACATTTTCAACGGCAGGAAATTGTGTTTGTTCAGCATTGAGTCATAATCAATGTTAACATAGCCGAACATGCTCGGTTCCTGTGTACATTGTAAATATGGTATGATTTCATCTTTGTATCTTCTCACCGGTGTCTCAGAAATTCAGGTCGACGGAAATTAGCGATTTATTTGGTTATGGGCGGCATGAGCCATTAAAACCCGAGTACACTTCAGAAAAATTAAATCCTTTTATAGCATTTTGATTCTTTTATTTCAATTACGTTTAGTTCTCTTCATTCACTCAGTCCACATCCCGTCATGCATTCCATCTCATTTATTCCGTCGTTCTTTATCTGTGTCGTTCATTTTTAAACTACTCATTCATGTTATGTATAGCTTAAGCCATAATCGGTAAAATGTAAGAAGAAAATTGCAAGTCTCTTGTTTAGCTATTCTAGTCAGCTGCAATTAAACGTATTTCATGTAATTGGATCTGCAAGTATTGCAATAAATCAGGTTGTCCGCTTTTCAACCGTGCGCATCGCATTTCCCGTTATTCTTCTTCCACCGTAACAAGGTGAAAACACAGTAAACAATATCCAACGTATATATAACCGGTCTTATCGTCATGTTTGCGTCGAAATCCATCGTCATACACAAAAGCTTCTTACATTCGTTATTATTGTTTTGAGCTGAGAGAATACGTGCCGTAACAATTCCGTTGTATAATCAAAAGTTTATTAAAGCTTTCGCTGTTTTTATTTTTAGAAGAAAAAAAATGCGAGAACGTAGAAAAAACGACAAATTGTGCAATATATTTTTAGATGACTTTCATTTGTGACAATTTGTCAAGTAACTTTAAAGCTGCTTTTTTTCGATTTGTTGTGTATTGATTAGTGAGAATCAAAAGGCCAACTCGATTTTAATTAAAACTGTTGATAATACAAGTAGTCGCAATTATGAGCAAAAACACTCACAAAAATTTGTGTGACACACGTGATGAATGTTTTACATTCAGTTGATTAAAAAAAACTGGCCGGTGTTTTTTATTCCTTTCACTCACACCAGCCTATATTTGCATCGAATAAATAAATGTCATGATAAAATGTTTGTTGAAAAAAGTGTTTCAACAAAGCGATTTAGTTTTTCCATTCGCTTGAGCTTAACATATGCATGAGACTGTTTGATAGCCGTGCATTTCATGGCGAAAAAAACATCAAAACAAATAATCCAAATCCAAATACATTTTAAATCACTCGTTTTTTTATTTGGTTGTTCGATGCTCTTCATATATTTACTATTTATTTCACAGATTTGCCGGCAAACGCAATCAAAAAGTGCATCACATCAATCCAGCCCATAAAAAGAAAAAGTTGTTAACCATTTTTATTTAAACCGGTGGAAATGCGTGGAATTTCTTTTTTTATCCTGCACAAAGGTAGCCGCCATCGAGCCATTCGATGTAAAATAATTAATAACCCAGTGCACACTATATATAGATTGTTGTGACCATTTTTTTTTTGCTGATACACTTTGCATGAAACCTTTTTAACGCCATATCCAGTTGCATTCAATAACCGTTTGCTGTGAAATAATCAACTTTTTTCGCATTTAAAGAGATTTATTTCAGTTGATTCGTTCACATTTTTTCCCTATAAAACCGATTTTCCTGGTCAAATAGGATAGGTTGATTTTTGTGTGAGTTGATTGCATTTTCAAATTCCAACATAGAATTGCAACAAATATTGAAACTTACTTCTTTCAGATGGAAATGGGACGTCATAACTCGCCGTCATTCTCAGAAATGTTCTCGAAATGACGGAAGGAGTGTATAAAATACATTTTTCAAATGACACAATTATTATTTCTTCGAAACATATCAACGAGGTATTTAAATTTCAAAGAAAAACTATTTCATTTGTGCATTCTCATGCACTATGATTGACGTCAAATAGAATACATTATTCACGATAAATAAATTATTCACGATAGATACATAATAAATGATTTTTTTCATTTCGAAATTCCTGAAACCAGTGTGTCCATAACATATAGAAATAGCACTAAATAGTGTCGATATCTATACTATATTGGTGCACTATATATGGAAGATATTCCGCAAGACACCGTAGCTCACGATCGAAGTGAGTGCGGACGGCAAACATGTTGACGCATACACACAGTTCTTTCTACTGCCGCACGGCAATTTGTGATTTTTTCCGTCTACACTGACTTCGATCGTGCGATACGGTGCCGTAAGGCAATATCTTTCATGTATAGTGGACCGATATAGTATAGATATCGACACTATTTAGTGATATTTCTATATATTATGGACACACTGCCTGAAACTAAAGTTCCCATTAAAAGTAAATTTCCTGGTGGAAAGAATGAAAAGAACCTGAACTATCTGTTTAATATCCTGTTTTTTTTTTTTTCAAGTTTTCAATAGAAAAATATTTTGTTCAATGAAAAATTGAAAGAAAATAAATGGAATAGAAAAATGTGCAAAGTTCTTGCTTAAAAATGTACATAATTCAGAAACTACATTTCCGTAGTTCACTTTCATAATTTGACATAAAAAAAGGAGGTGCAATTATACAATGAAAGTCAACGCAAAATAAATGTGTGTTTGATGAAGTAACTTTACTGATGCAGTGGTTCTTCACACAATGAAGTGCCCGAAAAAAAAATCATTATCATCGGTAACATAAAAGAGAATGTACAAACCATGCATAATGGCTGAAAAATTGCATGAAAATATGAACTCCACCACGATAATATATGTTACAATGTTAAGGTCCACAAAACGTTCAACGAAAATGTCATGCAATATTTTTTTTCAACGGATTTTTTTGTATGTTCGAAACGACAATACATTGTGATTATCATACGTACTTTATCCTCATATTCTGCGCAAAAGAATAAGCTTTTGCACTATGTGCAAAATCTTCCGGATGGAAGAAACTTAAAAGAAAAATAAAGGGTGTTTTTTTAAAAGGTTGAGGATTTCAAATTAATATGCCAGAAATCTTTTTTAAAACATAAATTCCAGAGGTTTTTCTTCCAAACAAAGCAATTTTCACGATTCAAATAAAAAAATATATATTATTTATATCAATTTGAAATCCTAAACCTCTTAGAAAAACACCCTTTACAAAACTGTCGATGATTTCAGCTCTTTTAACAAAAATGTCTTCGCATTAGTTTGTGACATTTTCAAGTGGAATATTTGAATGGCAAATCCATCGATTAGAAGTAACAATTTTCAACTTTTGTACGATGATAATCTTTTTTTCTTCATACAATATCGTTCTATTGAATTCAAGATTTAATTCGATTGAATCGATGGATGCAAAGCTTTTGATTTCTTGTTGATAATGTTTGTTAGAAAGTCTCTCTATTTGTTGACAGTTCTTTGTGATGAGAAATCTTCTCTGTTACTTTTCGCAGAAATCACTCATTCAGATATAGTACATTTGAATTTTTCACACAAGTCTGCCTCAATAGTACAAAAGATTTTGCTCGAAAATCTCGTCTATTTTCGGTTGCGACTATGAAACCATAACCTCGACGTAATTTCGAAAAATTAATTAGATGGTTTCGGTTGTGCGTTTCAAAATGATGGGAGACTGTCATGCAATTGATATGGGAACATATATACTTGATACGATTGTCGGTAATTTAATGCAGGAGAGACGTATTTCGTCTAGTCGGCAAAATGATTTTTTTTTTACTTCTTGGGTGAAGCTGCCACGTTTTGTGTTACGAAATTACAGTTGGAGTTCAACGATTCATTTTAATTGTTCTACATAAATATTATTGCGTAGATCTAATTAGTTGCGAAACAAAATGGCAAACGATGAAGGAAAAAAACAGTGTGCGATGGAAACGTTCGAGATATTCATTAGAGAATTTTGAGGGAGAACATGAAAACGAATCGCTTTCATCTTGCATACCAAATGTATCCATTTTGATTTTGCCGCCATTCTCTTCATATACGAGACAGAGTGAGCAGACAATCGCAATAAATTACATTCATTCTTGCAATGAGAAAAGAAAGACTGAAAATTTTCTTGCTGAAATTACATTAAATTTTTCATTCCAAATTAAATATTAAAAGGCTTTTTTTCGCCACCAGACACCGAAATATTTTTCTTCAAAACAAAAGAAGTCAATAAAGCCTATGTCAACCGTCTGTCATTTATTTACGGCAAATCTGTCACTTCGTCGAACTTATTCCGACCTTTCTTTTTAATGTTGTAACTCATCTACCGAAGGAATTGCTTAAATATTCCATTTTGCTCATATGCATAAGTGTGTTCGGCATGAAATCCAATAGCAGCAAATGTATACAAGCCTAAAAGTATAGTTCTCACTGGCTGTCTGTCATTGAGCAAGGGAAAAAACCCGACATTTTACAACTTTCGCTTTACCAGGATCACATTTTATACCATGCATACGACGTTGATTTTAAATTCGCTTAAATCGAAACATATGCGAATCATTGAAGCTTACACACACATTTCGTTTCTCATTGTTTGTTTTGTTGCCATTCGAACAAATGGCAATCATGAAAAACAGAATATTTAGTATATCAAACGAGTAAATTTCCTGCGGCGTTTTGCCACTGTATGAATCCATTGAAAATGCGAACATGCATGCATGGTGTCCCTTTGTCAGTTAATACAATGAAAACAATGTACGACTGTTATGAAATGACACACAAATACACACAAAAAAACGAATGCAAAAAAGTTGAACATAGAAATAAGAGAGATGGTATAGTAACAATAATCTCCTGTAGAATGGAGAAAGGTTATAAAATGGATTTTTACTAGCTTAGACAATGCCAAAGCTAGTTTGTTCTTGCTCGATAGCGATGGCCGGTTTATGTTTGGACAGGGAATCATGAATGCTTTTTATTCCTTAAAAATGAAATCCGGAAAGTAAATCCCTAGGATGAACCTTTTGTAACATTCGGAAAGGAAAAAAAAGCATTGAATGACACACGAAGACTGATGAATTTCGCCCTCAAACCAATGAATAACCGTTCAGTCTTTGAATCGAATAAACGAGCATTAAATGTGGCTAAAATAGTGCTTAATTGTGTTTGAAAACGATTCAGAGTGGATTTTATGATATCAAAGAGAGTCAAAGAGTTTTTTTTAGTTCAGTCTGTAGAATAGAGTACAAAAAGTCCATGTACAACAAGCTTATATACGCATATGTAATATGTTTCAATGGAAAATTTATCGTTGGGTTAACGCAATATGAAATGTCAAACGAATTAAAATGGAATAAATATTGACGCTTTAGAAACACACGTGTACACGAGCCAATTTAAAGGTGACATGAAAACAGTGTTTGTCAGAAGTGACAAACACATGTGATAATAAAGAATGAGCAATATCAAATGTTATTCCAATTTGTGTCATCTTATAAGGCTGCAAAAATTTAATTAAGAGACATAAATAAAAAAAACTCTGTGGAATATAGAAAAACAAAAATATTTGTTGTTATTGTTAACAATAACATGAATTCATATTCGATGTTTTTCAACGTTAAGAGTGGAGTTATCGTCATGGAATTTTTTGTTTTTCAATATTTTTGCCTATATAAGGTCACACCTGATTCGTCTTTAATCATTCTGTAAATTTTCAGAAACTAAACTACACTCGCGTTGTAATTTAAAACAAATCAACAATGTTTGTCAAAGCTATATCTCTCTGCCTGCTGATGGCACATTTATTGGTAAAATTGTTTGTAATTCGTTTTCGGGAACGTTTTTCTAACAGGCTTTCTCTTATTTTTCAGGGGCAATCTTCAGCGGCTACAAAATTGTACATAATTAATGAAGGAATTACATAAAAGATATTCATTAACGGTTTAACTTTTTTCACAGAATTGGAGCCAAGAGTATAGACATACTATGGAATGAACAAAGTTTCCTCACATTTTGGGATGGAATTACTAATTTTCTTTTAAAAAACACAATTAGCGACCCGCATTTTCGCAGCACACCTACAAAACATGAAATAGTAAACAGGCTTGAAAAGCAAATAAACGAAGGAAACTACAATTTTGATTATACAGACAGGCATGAGGTTTGGATTGTATTCGAAAATTTTATGAAAAATTTACAAAATCCTATTGTTCCTGAAAGTACGGCCAAAATTGTAAAACAATGTGGTAGGTTAATCTATATAACTTTTTTCTTCGGTATTTTAAAATGTATGTTTTTAATGAATCTTTGGTAGATGATTTTGATAAAGTGGGGCCTGGTTTAGAGGCTTTGAGCAAACTTTCCGAAAAAGCCAAAAAATTCATTGTTTTACTCTGTAAATTTCTCCGGCGAGTTTATTTGATGAAAAATATTGCTTTTGGTGCAGAAATGGATGCGTGGCTTACTCCCAAGAAAGAAAATTTCCTTAGGAAAGCTTTATGCCTTGAAAATGAAAGCGGGAAATTGGACAAAATTCAAGTGAGTTTCAAAAATTTGTATTCGATACTTGTGAAGATATGGTTCTATTATCATTTGTATGATTCAGTACTGACAAAGCTTTCGCATTTTTTCAGACCATTTTTATATACGATGAAATGAGCAAGAGCTTTGGAGATGTGATTAATTACATGAACCAACATTTTTATGTGATCAAGCTACCTGGTGTTGAATCAACATGCAAGATGTATTTTTGTTTTGCTTGTTTTCATTTTTACGGTCATTTTTTTATGGGTATTATTAACTAAGTCGTCCTTTTCTTTTTTAGCTTCCACAATACGAATGTGGCCAGATGCTGGAATTCAAAACCATTGCAAGACTTTTTGCAAAAGTCCTTGACTTTCATGAGAGAAAACTGTCTTACGTTGGAGGGTTTCTTTAAAAAAGATGCTAAAGTATCTGATAAGAATGCACTGCAACGCCAAATCGAAAATGGCTTCAATGACTTTACGCAAATTAAAAATAAGCATCTGCTCGTTCAAATATTCAAACGCTTTCTGACTGGATTCAAAGAACCAATCATACCAAATGATATTGCCGTCATAATCAGAAACATCTCAGGTTTGTTAAATTGATTGTAGTGATTTGCTTCTTCGTTATTTCAATTTTAATATTTTTACAGAGGACCAAATTCTGCAAAAGTTGAATGCGGTTCTTGATGTACTGAATGAGCTTCCGAATGCAAATAAAATTTTAATCGATAAGGTTTTACGGCTTATGAGAGATGCCGCAAATGTAGCCAGCAATGATATGGATGCGTCTGCATTAGCAATAAGGGTAGATCAATGCTTCTCTTTTCCAACAACCTTGACGGGAATTATCAATGTGAAGAGACAAGAAAAACCGATGATGGCTCATCTTATCGCTAATTGGGGCGATCATATTCACCTAGATGATTATCTTGACTTTGTGCAGAGAAAATGAGTTTTATCTAATATGTTAAACATGTAAATATTTGTTATCATAATTATCGCCAATTATTATTTAGCCAAGAATTAGATTCCAGGAGTTTTTTTTAATATAACCAGTTTGTTTACTAAAGCAATTTCAAAAAATCTGTAACTTATGCATTTTAGCTTGAAGTTTTTGTTTATATGCGGTGGATTCTTCAGCAAATTAAAATAATCTGTCAAAGTATTGAATCGAATGAAGTTTCCAAATGAAAGAACTTTTCGTTTTTCTTTTCTAGTCCCAAAACTTTCTGAATTCGATATAATTGGTTTGAGCTTTTCATATTGTTATAATACTCATGAAGCTTTTCATTGAAAGTGGTGCATATGTGGCAATGGAGTGCTTAAGATGCACCGTAGACATTTAAAAACGCGGTATGCAAGGTCAAAATTAATTAAAACCAGCGTTCAAAAACGGTTTGACGTTTCTCATACACACCGATTTCAAAACGGTTTCTTCAGTTGGTTTCAGTTGTGCTTTGAACGAAACGGAGCAAGCAAAACGTCCCGAAAATGGATTGTATCGCTGATTAATATCATCAATATAAATATTATAATAGAATAATACTTGTATAAACCAACCGGCTAAGCCTATGAAGAGACAAAATGCGAATTCCCCTCATCTGTGCCATCTTGTATTCCATAGTTGAACTCAATTTAGTTACAATGAATTGAATCGAAAAAGAGAAAAAAAACAACAACAGTAACATGGCTACATAGATCTGTTGACCAGTGAGATACGTATAGCAATGGAATGAAAGAATGAAGAAAGCGTATATGTGTATGTATGCATCAGCACGCATAGATGCACTGCGTGCTATCAATTGTCAAATTTCATACAAAAACAAAAAAACGTGAAGACCCAAAATTACACAAAATAATAGCGACATCTGCTGAACAAATAGTAGAAACTACTGAAGAATTCAATATATGTATTCTGTACATGCCCAATTGCCCATTCAGTCTGGTTTCAAACCTATCAAAAACAATACTGTCGCTACTGTTTTGTGTGGGCTGTGTGATAGTGTGCTGTGCATAGATGTACAGCTCTGTGTGGCCGTGCTATTGTTGTTGTTTTTTCACTTTTTCATTTCAATGCTACAGAATTAAATTCAGTTTTTGCATCTAATTCACACTAAAATCAGATGGCGCTCATTAGCGAGATTCGCAAAAAAAAGTCTCCAATCTCATACAAATATACACCTGCTGGTATAAACACGAAAATGTCGAAAATAAATTCCACGCTTAATTCTTGATGATTCAAATGATGAATAAAATGAAAACACTTTTTGATATATATTTGATATAGAATTCACTTATTCAAATCTTTTTCAGAATACATTCGGAAATTAAACTCGTTTTATTATTTGAATTGAGTTCAGCAATGATAGTTAAAGTTCTACGTGCGTGTGTGATAATATCTATTTTATGGGTATTTTTTTTTTGCAAAATAAAATCGTGAAAATTGATTAATTCAACAAATATTTTGTTATTTTCCAGCGGCAGTCATTTGCGGCGTCAAAATTGTATGTAACTCACTCTTTCTATTAAAAACCACATTTTAAAAAATCAATTTTCTCTAGAATTGGAGCGAAGAGCATTGACGAAATATGGGAAGATCAAAGTTTCCATAAGTTTTGGAATAGTATTACGGAATTTCTTCTGGCGAATACTGTAACAGACCCAAATTTTCGAAAATATCACGTAGATCATGGAACGGTGGACAGGCTTGAAAAGCAAATCAACGAAGGAAACTACAAATTTGATTATGCAGATAGACATGAAGTTTGGCGTGTATTCGAACATTTTATGGAAAAATTAGAAAATCAAATAGTGCCTTTGAGTACGGCCAAAATTGTTAGACTTTGTGGTCAGTTTATCTCCTATTATATTCTGAGTTTTTCAGCACTTTTAATATTTAAACTGAACTTTGATTAGATGTAAGACCAGGGGAAGTAGAAATTGGCTTGGATGCTTTGAGTAAACTGCCCAAAAACAACAAAAAATTCATTGTCAAGCTTAGTAAATTCCTCCGCAGAGTCTGTTCGAAGACGACAAAATTCGTGAGAGGCAATATTTTTGGGCCAGGAATGGATGCTTGGCTTACACCATATAAACAAAAATCGTCTCACAAGTCATTATGTGGACGTGGAAAGAGAGAATTGGAAATTGTAAGGCATTTCTTAATTAGAATTTAAATTACACGATCAAATTTGCAAAAATATCGAAAATTTTAATAATTTATTTTTATTCTCTAATTTAAACGTCTCCAAACACCATTTTTGCAGCGAACATATTGTTCTCTCATTTTTGTTATCAAAATAAGGTTTCTTCTCTTTGCAGATCAAATATTTTATTTACGGTAGAATGAGTGAGAATTTTGGTGATATAATTGGTTACAGGAATGAAAAGTTTCATATGATCAAATATCCAGGTGTTGAATCAACTTGCAAAGTGTAAATATTTTTCTTTTGTTATTATATATTTTTTATTAAAACAACAAATTGCCGACAAAATGTTTACAGATTTAAAAACCCAAGTGTGGCACAATGTTGGAACTCAAGGCCACTGCAGGATTTTTTGGAGAATTCTTTAACATTCATGAGAGAAAACTGTTTGATGTTAGATGGTTTCTTCAAAAAAGATGGGAAAAGGGCTGAGAGAAATGCAATGCAACGAGAGATCGAAAATGGATTACAAGACTATTCTGGAATTAAAAATAAACACATTTTGGTTCAATTGTTTAAATGTTTCTTAAAAGGTTTCAAGGAGTCGGTCATACCACACGATGTCGCCGTTATTATCAGAAACAACCCAAGTAAATGATTAGCAAGCGATTTCTTTTTTGTGTCAAAAAATTCCATCCAAATTCATATTTTTACAGAGGACCAAATTGTGCAAAAGTTGAATGCAGTTCTTGATGCATTGAATGAGCTTCCGAATGCAAATAAAATGTTAATTGATAATGTTTTACGGCTTATGAGAGATGCTGCAAATATAGACAGCAATAATATGGATGCGGCTGATTTGGCAATAATGGTGGATCAATGCTTCAGCCTCCCAACAACTTTAACGGAAATTGTGGATGTGAGGAGTCAAGAGAATCCCATGTTGGCACATCTCATTACTATTTGGGGTGATCATATTTATCTCGATGATTACCTTGACTTTGTACAGAGGAAATGAATTTGATCTCAAGCTATATATTATATCATTCTTTTCGAAAGGAATACAAACAATAAATAGTATACGCATATTAGTAACACAATCCACACAGCTTCATCTGGAGACACGTGTGCCATTCAATGTCTCAGCGTGCCTGTATCTTAACTCCATATTTTAATTAAATATTTTGTCACTCTTTGTGGAACATGTCATTGAATGAAGCGTTGAATTTCAACTTATTTCGTTTCTTTCTTGTTTTTATGGAAAAATACAAAATGAGTTTCTAATGTGAAATGTCAAAGGAAATAAATTTATGCATTTTTATAAATGTCAGCGTCTTTTGCAATTCACAAATGTTCACCAAATGTGGAACACAGCTAATTTTTTACGCAAACGAATTATAATATTGAATAAATTCAGTATATATTCCCCGAATATGGAGATGAAGATTAAAATATCATTGAATTAAATTTGAATTCGATTAGATGATATATTGAAAAAAATAAAATATGTTCGCTATATAAGACACAGTATTTTATAAGATACAGTATTTATTATACACTATAGAACTAGCTCTAGAACTGTTTCAGAAACGGAGCCGAAAAATTTTGACGTTCAAACATGACACCAACACTTAAAGTTGTATGTCTATGTCTAGGACTGGTTTTCTTATTGGTAAATTTCACTATTATTTCTTATTTGTTCTTTCTGTTTGCTAATTTCCTTTCACTTCAGGGAAAACCATCAATAGCGGCTAAAATGTAAATACGGAGTACCTTTTTGCAAATTAAAATTATTTACAAATAATCTCTCCTTATAGAATTGGAGCTAAGAGTATAGATCAAATATATGATGTCGGACTGCTACCATTTTTTGATAGTATAACCGAGTTTCTTATAAAAAACGTTGTACGTGATCGATATTTCAACATAGTATTTGGAAAAAAACAAACGATAAATAGGCTTGTGAGTCAAGTCAATGCGGGGAACTATACATTTGCCCCTGAAGATGGACTTGAAGTATGGGATGTTTTCAAACAATTTCTGAGAACTGTTGAAAATCCAATCGTACCCGAGAAAAGCGCCAAAATTTTAAGACAATGTGGTATGATCTTCTATAATATTTTTACCGTTTCAAAATTGGTGAGAGAATGAACCCTTCCAGAAATGAAGTCAAACAGCGTTGAACCCGGTTTGGAGGCGTTGAGCAAACTCTCTGACAAAACCAAAAAATTCCTCGTCAAACTTTTTAAATTCCTTCGAAGAGTCTGCTTGTCAACAAAACCATTTGTAAAAGGTGATGCAACATGCAATTGAACGCATAACACATTTATAACACTGTCTTTTCAAAAAGGCAAGGTTTTTGGACCATATCTGGATGGCTGGCTTACGCCTTACAAGGGGAAATCATTATTGAGATTTTGTGCTTGTGGTGCACTTGAAGGAGAATGTGATCAAACGTTCGAAACAGTAATAACTTTTGAACTTAAATTATATGAAACTATAATATGATTTCCCTTTAAAAATCTCTAGTAGAAATACCAGATTTATATGTATGCGAGCGAAAGCTTTGGAGATATAATTGGTTACCGGAATCAAAAATTTTATATTATTAAATTCCCG